GAAGTGTACAAGATGCCGAAGCAGCTTAACAGCCGTTGCAAATAACTCATCACAGCCTTAGTAGAACGATTTGAATGGAAAAGCGGTAATAAGGGCCCTCTATGTATCTTTAGTGCTGTTAAGGAGGTGAGTTTTGTTGATGTAAATAATAACTGTTTATATATTTATAGTTAATTCATTTTTGTTTCCTAAAATATTTTGATTAAAAGAAAATACGAAAAAATCGACAACGCCGTGCTGGTCAAGCTTAATCACCAAGTTTATTTGGTATGATCTACATTATCTCATGGTTTAGTCTATCTTTATAGGTCTATCTTTATAAAAATAGGCACTCTTATAACTGGTATGAATGAATAATGAAAAGAGAACATCTTTGTTTATGTTTATATAATCTAGAATTACTTTTTGAGAAAAGAATAGAAAACCAGTAGTTCTATTTTATGTAATTTGTTAACAAATATAAAACGTCAATCATACACTCTTCAGTTATGTAACAGAACAGAAAAGGACATAGATATAAACATCATTTCTCTGTCCTGTTCATAACTCTGAAAAATACGCTATATAACAAAAATAAATAATAATACTGATTGTTTATAAAAATAAAACAAAAAAGACGCGTTCTCTAAGCAGGATTATATAAAATACTTTCCAGTTACTAAACACAATCAACGAAAAAAAGAGGCAAAAAGATCGCAGAACATTGGCAGGTACATAGAGCAAAAGTTTCGAAGTTAAAGAACTTCCTCGTCATCACCGGACTTCCGGCCTACCGCCGGAAGAACCGGAAGAAACCCTTCTTCTTTTCGGGAGGCGGCGCCATCAGCATAGGTACTTGGTTCTTGTGGGTGATACGTATCTGTAACAGAGACAAGAGGGTTCCAGAAAAACAACTAAACAATTTAAATGAAAAATAAAAAAGGCTTTTACAAAAAATATGTGTCATTTCTCGTGGGTAGATTTCTCAGGTAAAAATAAGATTTGTTTTTTATACCAACATACGTTGATTCGGCCCAAGAACGGTAAAATAATAGGATTGCTCATCCTCATAAGACGTACGTTCGCCTCTTCCCGCGCTTTAGCTGACAGTTGTGACGTCATTGTAGTCCTTGTCATGATTAGTGTGTATTATTAGTTGCCTATGGTAAACTTATAAAAATAACATCTGAGAAATTTTGAGTTAATTATTTTGTCAATTTTAAATGCGAAAAAGGTGTTTTCAAAGTTTTTAGAGCTATAGAGTGTATAAATAAGTGTGTATAAATACGTTCATTTTGTGTTGTGGATTGTGACAAAGCGCTTACTAACTGCCTACGATATTGTTTATTAATTATTTTAAAGCAAAATATGGAAGTACTCTAAAAAGAATGCCTGCAAAAGGTGATGCCGAGTATTTAATACGATTTATGTCGCATTATAGTAATTTTTACACCCAAAATTTCATTCGAAACGCTATAAGTACTTGGAAGAAAATTATACTAAATCAAGAAAATATTAAGATTTTATCACCCTGTAGCTACGAAACAAAGCAGAATCGGTCCTATGTTGATATGAAAAATAAATCTTATTTTTACGTGAGGTATCTTCCCATGAGAGATTGCACATGTTTTGTGAAACACCCTGTATGATAGATAGTTATTATTTACCGTGGTAGGAGGTTGCATCCAAGGCTCACCATCGATCTGCATTGGAAATGTTTTCTTCGTTTTGATGGTGACTGAAGAGCATTGGGCTAGTCTCCTACCGCTGGCGGTGATGCCTATCCTGACTTGACCCATGTGTAGGCAGTTGTCCAAGCCTATCACCTCGATAAGACCATCTCCTATATCTGAAATGGAGAGAAATTTTTTTATCAAAGCCACCCAATGATATTGCCATCTAGGGTAATAAGTTCTGACATAAACATAAGAGTCTGTAACCCCTAGATCATATATACTTACGTGGATACATCAACGCCATAAGTTTAGCAGTAAAAAATATGTCTCCAACATCACGACATGCCATTTTCAAACGTTCTTTATTGCACTTATGAAACGTTCAATAGGTTTGTCCTTTCCGAGGACCTTACTCTACGCATGCGCATTAAAAGTTGCACGTATTTCCAAAATAATCACAATTTTATAGGGTTTAGAAAGTACATAATCATATTGTCATATTCGTATGTCATAATCTTATTTGCATTGTGTAACGATGCTTTTTTTTTGGTTTTTTATTTTAAAAATTGTATTAATTACACTTTTATCGACCGCTAATATAGCCAAGGATGCAAGTGTGTTCAGTGAGAATTAGTTTTAAGTTTGTGCAATTATATTTCTATTTTTTTTTCGTTGCACTTTCTAAATACTTGTTAAAACGACTAGAAAGTGTTTGGTAAGTGGAAGTTCTAATATAAAGGTCCCCGAATTATCTTTTCATAGGCAAGTAAAGTATTCAGTTGTTCTTTTATTTATATTAAACCACATGCATACTTTCTGGTTAGATTTCTTAAGAATATTGATATTCTTACGGAGTGGTTAAATGTATTTTTAATATAATTTAATTTTTATGACAGTAAACATTCAATTTATTGTTCAAATATATGCATTTTACAAATTAAATTTTTAAATTTAATGTTCAAATTTGGCGCGTGGACGATAGGTCCTCGACAAGGATAGATGGAGTAGAAGCACCGCGTTTGCAACAAAAAAAGAAGATAAATGGAAGTCGTTCATATGTTTGCGACACTTTCCATAGTGATTTACTTAACCACGTAAATATATATGATCTAGGCTGTAACTCTACCTTGAACTGCCACACTCAAATCCACCGAATTGAAGCTACTCGTACTAATATCCTTCTCCCTGCCTTTCCTTCTGTTTCTTCTGGACCCAGACAAGTGTTCCCCCCACAAATTCGACCCCCCGTGCGTGTAGGGGATGTTCAAGAACGTGATGCCCTGCAGGGGGAGGCCGTTGGCCAGGTCCAAGCCCACACCGTCGCATTCTATCTCGATGGACTCGTGCAGGTTCTTGCAGGAGGCGAAAAGGGTTTCCGTTGTGGCGAATTCAACGTACCACAGTTTGTTCTTCATGCGGCTGTTGAAACGGTCGGGGTTCTTGAGCCGCTCGATGTGGAACTTGTTGCAGATGGCAGCGTCCTGTGGGAGAAGAATAAAACAGTAGTATTATTAGACTGAACGTACACAGAAAGAGCAAAATAGTTTTTGACTAAAACTGTTCACTAACGCAAACTGATCAGTCGCGAGGTTTAAGACAGGTTTGGGCTCGTTTAGTTGCAGTTAATGGTCAACGAATCAACAATATCAGATACGCTATGACGATGCAGTAGTAATGACAGACAAAGTGAAGATTTGCATAAACTAGTGAAGAACCTACTTCAAAGAATAAATGTATCTTGCAAACATATGGACTGAATATGCATTTGAAGAAAACAAAATTCAGGATTATTACAAAAGACCAAACCAACTTCAATATCAATAGACAGCACGCCAATAGAAAAAGTCCAACACTACAAATACTTGGGCACAATAACAAATGAAACTGCCGAGCAATTGCAAGAAATAAAGTCCAAGATAGAGATAGGCTAAAGAAATTTCTTTGCAGTAGAGATATAAACTTAGATTTAAAAATAAGGATGATCCGATGTTACGTGTTTTCGACCTTATTGTATGGTGCTGAAGCGTGGACCGTTAAAACAGCCGAAATTAACAAAACTGGTCGCTTTCGAAAGGTGGTGTTATGTTACGGATTTTTTGGTCGATAAAGTTGTAAATATCGACGTGTTACGCCGTATGAACCAGGAAGAAGAAATAAATAAAATCCTTAGGAGGAAAAAATTAGAATATTTTGCACATGTTATAAGAGGTCCTAAATGCCAGTTGCCCCAGAATATTATGGAAGGAAAAACCAGACAAAATATAAGGTTTTTACAAAAGACAAAAATGTGTTTGACTGAAACAATTTTGCTCTTTCTGTGTGCATCCAGCTTTAGACTAAGACTGGATAATAATATATACAGGTTGTCACATTTTCGTGTTTTATACGTGATTTCTCGTTTATGAGTAGAGATACAAATATGGGGTTTTCACATCACTGTACTACTTTGTTATGAAGCTAGAGATGCTACACACAAATTTGTCCTAGCCCTTTTAGTTCCTGAAATACAGGGTTAATTTGAAAATGTTGCCTTTTTTTAACCGCATCGTATCCCCCGTGTCCCGTAGAGTTTTTTACGTAGAATTCAGTGGCGTAACTATTTTTTCGATGGGAACTGTCGTTCGTGAAATGTGACTCAACCAAACGAAAATGGGACACTCTGTACTTACTAATATTCTGTACTTACCACGCCAATTGAAAAATAATTATTAATAACGTTGTACGGTATTCTTGTGTCCGCTATTTTTACCGTAGGATCAGGCTGGGCCGAATCAAATAGCTCTATAGACCACCTAAAAGAAGAACCAAATTTTTAAAAAAATTATATTTTTAATATTTTGAATTTGTTTCTA